ATATAATTATTTTTAAAAAATAACTAGAAAAAAATCCACATGTTTTAGTTAAGCTAAAAATAAAACAAAAAAAATAAACACAAAATTTCGCTAAACTATTTTGTTAGGAAACAAATGAAAAAGTTGTATATAAAAAGGAAAATTTACGAACTTTTAGAAGTGAGTGTATAGAGATTGTTTTTGCATTTATAGCTGTACTGAGTGACGAGGAACTTTTCTTTCAATCATAATATATGTTTTTGGATTTGTTTTTTATTTTCTTTTTTTTTTTTGCTTTTTGTATTTTAATGGTTTGGGAGATTATTTGTTTGCGAAAACTTCTGACATACCGCATTGTACTGTAAAAATAGATTAAATAAAGTTTTAGAAAAAATAGTATTTAATATACATATAAAGTAAAAAGAAAAAGTTATTCTTAAGTAGACAAATAACTAAAGAGCTATATTTCTACCTACAATTGGCCAAAATATATGGAAATGCAAAAATTTTGGTTTTTCACTTTATAGTATCGATTTTGGGATAAAATATTTTTCAAATTATCAAATTTTTTAAGGAGTTGGGATAAAAATCTAAAAAAAAGTTTTAAATTTATGTAAGTAAGTTTTCAATTTTGTTTTTTAATTCTTAAATAATTTTTTTTTTAATTAAATTTTTTTAGATGTTTAGATGTTTAATAAAATAAATTTTTAGATTTTTAATTCCAACATTAGAGTTTAAAAATTAAAATTTAATTATCAAATTTTAGATTTTTAATTCCATATTAGGGAATATAAATAAAGCAAAAATAATAATTCAAGGTAACCCTGGTAAGTAATAATTCAGAGAAATTTAATGATATAATTGGGTCTATAACTGTATTCTGACGGTTTGTTAAGAGATGGTGTAAATTGATTAGTTGACCATTGCTCCGAATATGCATGAGAAAGCTACTGTTCTTGTGCGCTTTTTTAAGTGTTTTTGCGAGAAATCCTTCTTTATTATTTTAATATGAAGAAAATGTCAGTCGAAAGACAACGTATTTTATTGGAAGTTTGTAGTTAACTATTTACACAATTGAAAAGTGGTGATTTTAACATAGAAGACGAGTTAAAAGAAATGTGGAAGCTGAAAGCTTTACTTGATAAAGCCAAACAGAGTAAGGGCTCGCAATGTCATTCGGAGTCACTTAGGCAGCCATTACAAGACATTTAAAAGCAGCCTAGTACATTCTAAATCAAAGAAATTTGAATTGAAACCAAGATGCGTCGAAAGACGATCTTTCATTTAGGAAATGCTGCTTCAACACTACAAAGTAAGTCGTTTTTGCATCGGATTGTGATTAGTGATTAAAAATGGATTCATTACGACCACCCTAAATGCAAAAAATTATATGTGAAATCTGACAAATCAACGCCGAATATCCATGACGCCAAGGTAATGCTCTGTATTTGGTGGAATTAGAAGGGCGTGTTGAGATATAAGTTTCTAAAACCGGGTGAAATCAATAATGGGGCACAAGAACTTATTACATTTAAGCAAGCGATTGCCGAAAAACACCCGGAATTAGCGACTAAACACGAGGCAATAATGGTAATAATCCATCAAGACAATAATAATCGGTCTAATGTCACAAGAACAGCTAACAACTATTTGGAAAAAGTGGCTGGGAATTATAGACCCAATATATAAAATATATAATATATTAATAGAATAAAGTGCTCCATTAAATATGTGTATAATGAAAATACGACACTTGATAATTTAAAGTGAAATATGCAATAATTAAATTTTATATATGAAGCATTTATTTATATAATATTTGACTATACCATACATATATGTATGTATGTATAAGTAATAATTTTTTCAACCTGGTAATAAATGCTCTTGGGTGAAAATATTTTTTCAGCTTAAATATAACAATAACAACTATAGCAAGAAGAATTTGATCGTTAGTGGTCCGATCTGAAAAATTTCTTTACATATTGTAACGTTGCCTTGAACAATTTTTTCATTAAGATATCTTGGAAATAATCAACTTTTCCATACAAGAATTTGATAGTTCAGTTTGCATGGCAACTACTTGTTACAATGGTTCGATGTCAACATTTCCGTTAAATGAGTAGTTTCTATCGGATAGAAGAACGTGTGCAATATTTCAAAACGAAATCTCAAAAACTGATTGTTCAGTTCGCGTATATACAGACGGGCACATTTATATATATATTTTATAGGGTCTTCGACGCTTCCTTATGGGTGTTACAAACTTCGTGGTAAACTCAATATAAGGTGTAATCTAAGAATAAATTAAAATATGAGATAACTGCCCGTTTGCTCGCCGCATAACAAGCGGCTAATGTATTATTCGACCACCTGTAGCAGGGCAAAACGGTCACATAGATCTATTATAGCGAAATATTCGGCTGATTTGACACCAAATACCCACCATAACAATGCAACATTCACAGCTCCTCCGGCCACAGCCAGCGACTTCTTTTCGATTTACCGGACAAAAATTTCAGTCGTATGGGGATGTTGTCGCCTCCAGAAGGCCTACCCTGCATACCTACAGAAGACGAATTTTTCGGACGGGTGAGGATCACTGGGTCAAGTGTATACCGCTAAAAGGAGACTACATACATATGTAGAAAAACATATACCATTTCATTCAAAATTTTTCTTTTTTCTTTGAAAACTAAATAACTTTTTACCACCCTAGTACTAGAACTGCAAGAAGGTGTGGAAAGCGAAATATTATCCGTATCTCTCATGGTGGGGCCTTAGTGAATACAAGTAGGTAAGGTAAAACCCAATACGGGTACAGTTCAAAGTTGTGATATGATGGTTATAAAATTATGAAATTTATCTGTCTGGGGCGAAATAAATAAAAACAAGAAAAAGTTAATTTCGATTACATCTTTAATACCCCTCTCAAACGCAAAATATTCTTTACATGAATTTGATTGGTCAGTTTATATGTCAGTTGTATGCTATAGTGGTTCGACAATTTCTTCGGACATTACACCGTTATATTGAACAAATGACAAATTTAGTGAAAATATCTCGACAAATGAAAAAGCTTTCCACACAAGTACTTTATTAAGATTGTTCATTTTGTATGGCAGTCATATGTTATAGTGTCGGCTGTTCCGATAAATTAGCAGGTTTTTGGAGAGAACGGAGGGACTAGTTTGCGTATATACAGACAAATCGACTCAGCTCAGCTCAGAATCTCTAACGTTTCTTCTGGGGGGTGTTACAAACTTTTTAGCAAACTTAGAGCCATATACCCTGTTCAGGGTATAAACAAAACCCAAATAATAAATCGTTGGAAATAAGGGTAGGTCCGTATCAAACATGTGCGAAACTCAAATATATCTGTTTATCTATTGCCTTTTCCGCGATCCCTTTTTTGTACCATGCAAAATCTGCCTTCAATCACCTCAGGTGTTGTTATACAGACATATACATATGTATGTACATGCACAGAGGAGTTTCACCAAAATAATTATTTATCAGTTATAATAAGTGTGTGATATATGTATATTTTGAAAAAATTCTCCACCGCAGTTATCGTCTTTTTTTATACATACAAGTAGTTGAGCCAAAGATTAGTTGAGGCATGTTTTTTCGAAAAATAAAATAAGTATCAAATTCTTTACGACGATATATTTCAAAGTAAATAGTTGTAATTTTAATTATAAGTAATATATTGTACTGCAATTCTACTCTATATTAAAAGTTCCATAAGTTCAAACAAAAATTGAAAAATCAATTTTACATAAACAGATTGAGTAATAAAAAGTCTCAGACTACTAAATTAAGTTTCCTATTCCTCTCACGTGGGCATACATATACCATCGATCAAATTTGTCTCGTACTGGTCCATTTAAACTACGTGCGCAAACCGAATTGATAAATTTTAATTTCCAAGAACATACAAAATTCTTGTTAAAATTTATTATTTTCTTTCCAATGGAATCCAAAATTGCGGAATCGTTGAAAAGTTTCAGTATTGTTTTGGATAATTTACTTTATCACTAACAAAAGCATTTGAGTTGAACAAAGCATTCACACGACCTCTGTTAATGATGATAACATCGAAAAATTTAGAGAAAGAGTTATTGAAAATCGTCGAGTTAGCATCAGAGAGATTGCAAAGGATATCAGCATCTCTTATGGATCGACTCAGCGCATTTCGGTTAATGTTTGGGTTATGAAACAAGTCAATTATAGCAAAAGACTACAATCTTTTGCAAAAACCACGTAGACTACAGGGCTCATCATTACTGGTGACGAGGCGTGCCTTTATTTAAGTAAATATGACGTCAACAATGAGCCGAAACCAGAAAAACCTTAATTCGCTGAAGGCACTGAAGGCCTCAATTGACTCAAAATAGGCCAAGCGATACTAAATATTTGAATTAGTCCGCCGATGATATATATATAAATATATGTAACTTTCTCACTTATAATTAATCATATATATAATATAATAATAATAATATTTTTTTTTAGTGTAAACATGTTTTAAATAATTCGCATTAATCCAGTTTCCAGATAAAAAAAAAACATGCAGAATACATTTTATGTGTGGCGTTAAATAAAATAAACTCACACACAATTAAGATGTAAATGAAAAAAAATACTCTTTGTTTATATCTATGTGTGTATGAATGAACAACAAGACATCCCATGATAAAAGCTGTCTCCTTTTGCCGTAATCACTACAAATAACTTCGACACATACGAAATGATGAAATGCATAGCTGTAACTGAATTGTAGAGCAACGTACAGTTAGAAGCTGCAATAAGCATTTGCAGCATTTAATTGATAGCACACTTCAGTTTCCTTCACCCACCCGCACCATATTTCAAGCGACAAGCAATAAAATGTTTATCTTTGTATACGAATTCCTACTGACAAGCGTAGAATTTGGAAAATATACACAAAACTAAATTAATTCTATTGAAATTCTATTGAGGAGGTATTCGAGTGGCGCTCACCTTTTCCTTGACATTGTTCAGAAATTCGTAATGTCGTTTCTTCTTCATTTTCTCGGCATAACGCGCCGTCTCCAATTCGAATTCATCCGAATAACCCAAACCGGTGTTGAGCATTTGCAGGCGTTCATCAATGAATTGCTGAAATATTTGCAGCTCCATCATTTTCGCTAGAAACGGACGCAAGTGTTTCGGGCGAGATTCGATAAATTTATCACGGTTGAAGGTCTTGCCCGTTTCACGAAACTCCACAGCATCGCGATAGCCGCTTATCAGTTGCACCAGTACGCCGAGGAAAATTTTCGAAACACGATCGCCAATATGCTCGTTCGAATGGCTGAGCTGTTTCTTCATTTGTGATACAATATCCGCTGGCATTTCGCGTACGTCGTCGAAGGGGCTTTGAAACACTTTCGTATCACAGTTAAGTATCACAACCTCGCCAAGTTCATCGGTTGTCATCTGGCGGTAGAAAAAGTATTACAAATAATTACCATTTCATTGTAGAATTAAAAATGATGCTAGAAAAATAACAATAGTAACTTTGTTTTGAGAATCTGATGGCCTAGGGTCGGTTATGAATGGCAGGCGCTTCGGTTGAAAAGGTAAAACAGGAAAACTTGAATTTCTTTGTACAAATTAAACAATATATCCTCCCCGAAAAGTCTTGAAAATACTACTGACATCGGTTGGCGGCTTTTTAACTTAATTTGGTTGACCTTGCACTCGTACATGAACCGCAAATGAACGAAGAAGTAATTAATCTTCAATATGTTCTCTTAATATATTTTTAGAATATCCAAGGCGAGTTTTTCGGTTCAGCCGGCTCTTCATGATCACCGTTAATATAACTTTATAGTATGCCTTTTACATATGTTTCGAATGTGTTAGAAGGGTACTACTAAAGAAATCCGAAAGCCAGTAATACAAACAAGATCATCATAGCATCCCAAAATAAATTTATGGAAAGATCAAAATTTTAAGTTTTGTTAAGTAAAATTCCAATTCACTTTAAAACACTGCTTGGTAATGAAAAAGATGAAAAAGCTCTCAAGGCTGACTGAAAAGATTTTTATGGTGGAAAAACACTTGGAGATTTGCCATTGTCAGTCGAAGTATGACTACCAGTGTGTGTTTAGTTAAGATTATATAGGAGTATAGTTAATTTTGTAGACAATATTAGATTCCTACATTTTCGTATTGATTTAACACACATAGATTGTATCACATTAAACCAGGGTACATCATTTTCGAAAACAAAAACTATCATGTAGAATTAAACACATTGGAAACGAAAGATAAAATATCAAAGATTATAGGAAAAATAATTTACGGGGGCCTATCTGTGATCGGGAAGAGGAATGGGACGGGCGTGGTTGAATTTGTAAGGATCAAAAACGGTTAACCTCAATTTTCGATAAAACTACGAGTACTATAATTTTTAACATAACCTCAAAATTAATGTGAAAAATTCATCAAACATTCAAGCTTTTGTGGTATTATTTCTATCTAACACAAAAAGATTACTTTCGCGGAATTCGGAGTAAACTTATCTTCTATGATTTTTTTTTACTTTTTACCATTTAGAAAGGTTTCTATAGTGGTCTCAATACATAAATTCAATATGAAAAGCATGCATGTTTTCTGATTATGTAAAAATTACATACTCGAAGTGTTTTTAATATATTTACGAACCGTTTCGAGCACTGTTTGCGGCACTCCAATCAGATATGGCATGGGCGCACTCAAATAGTCTTTTAATTTCATCGGCAACACTGGTATAAAGATATGCTGCCAAACCATAGGATAGAGGAACGCATTAGCCGCTTGTATGCACGACGACAAACGATCCAGGCGGCGCGATGTGAAAATGATGCGACGCTCAGCCAGCATTGCTGCGAATACAGCAATCATATTCTTTGGATCCACAAAATTATAATACAGATTTAAATTGTGCTGGAAATGAAAATAAGAAAAAATTTTAATATTAACATTGCACACACATTAATAAATACTAGTGTGGCTAGTGACTTACATTCTCAGGTATGCTGGGCAATTGAAACGTCAGCGGTCGCTCAAACACGAAATACTGTAAACAAACGAGCACAGAAATTCATTTGATTAGATTAAACCACTGGAAATGCATACATACAGTGGCACACTCGGTACTGTGAATGTGTGAACTTACATTTTGTCCGCCGTTATAGAATAATTTCAAGTGTCCGCCCGGATCGGGCACACCGCGATTATACGCCTCGGCGAGAAAAGTGCGAAAGTCATCATTGGCATTATTGATGCTCGTTGTGGTGGTCTCATCACAGCGCCGCAACTCGGCCAGCAGCGTCAGCAGTCGCAAAAATGTATCATGCCATGGCAAATATGTGATTATTACCATTGCGGTGTCCGTCTTCGGATCATGGCGACAGAAACCAAACCGCCACTTGGAATCGTCTGTTGTGAGTACGAAGGAGTACGATTGCACAGAATCGCTGCAAAAATGTGATATAAGAAATAGAAATGAATGAATAAATTGCAAAATTTAATTAAACTATTATTAATTACTGCAGAAGATGTTCCACAACTGCAGCTAAATAGGAAGTAGTCAATTGTCAAACTAGTCGAAAAACTAGTTTGCCACTAAAAAGGTTTAATCGAACTAGTACGGAAGATATTAGTTTTTCGTCTCAAAAAGCTGGAACAAAAATACTAGTTTTTTTGCCTAATGTAAAATGGATTTTTTAGCTATTTTGAACTAGTATGGGTATTTTTTACGTTCTGTAAAGAATGCGCAGCGCTCAACTTATGGTCAACATAGTCGGCTAAGTTCGCTAATATTCCATGGAATAGACCATGTCCGTTATACCGCTATGATAACAGACGATATCATACCTAAAATTGATGCTCTTGGGCTCGACGAAATTTGGTTTCACCAAAATGGCGTTGTGTGGGAACATCGCATCAATTAATGGACTTATTGAGAAAACACTCCGGTGAGCAGATAATTTCAGATTTCATCAAAAAGTTTATTTATTTATTTTCGGTATAAAATCATCTTGTAGTCAGCGAAATTTATCGTCCCTTCGATATAAAGGGTCATGAAAATAAGTGTGTCTTAAGAAAAGTGGGCTAATTTCGGCGGTTTTTAAATGTAACATACTATGTCGACAGCCGTTGTTAAGATACGAAATATTCTGTATGTTAATAAATTTTTGAACCTTCTACTAGAGCCACAACATTTTAACGAATACTATTAAGTATATACGTGTCGGACGAGGCACGGAAATAATTAATCGAATAAAGCATTTATTGTAAATGCACGTGTTCATTCGCAACCTAAACAAGGCTATATTTATACGACGCAACACTAGAAATTCCCAGCGAAAATCAAAAACTGGTCCATCTACAAAGTGACAACAAAAGGAAGCGACACTTTAACAAATACAAATACCCGGCTGGGTGAAAAGTTCGTATCGTTTCTATAAAGCAGACCACTGTAATTGAATGCACTTTTAACAGGCGGCTGTCAGACAATTGTTTTGTGTGATATAGCATTTGAATTTACGCAAAGTTTGGTATTTTGAAAATAATGGCAAACAAGTAATTTTGATGAAATAAAATGGTGCTGATAATAAAAAGTGGCTTAATGAAGGTTACATTTATGTCCAAACAAAGCTAAGAAGTTGTTAAATATTTTTGGCAAAAAATTAGAAGAAAGCAATAACTTGATAAATTGCCTATTTATGTCTGATTAGGTCAATTTTGATGTAACTGGAAATGTAAACAAGCAAAATTGGCGTATATGGAATGCATCAAATCTAGAAATCATCCACGAGTGGTAACTTCAACCCGAACGAGTCACTGTGTGGTGTGCAATTCATCAAGGTGTTTTGTTAAGCCATACTTCCTTGAAGAAAACGGTGTAATAGTAACTGTTAATGGCCAACGATATTAAAAGATGTTGAATTACAAATTACTACGGCGAAGACGTATCCTTTTCAATAGCGTTTGGTTTCAGCAAATTGAAAATAAATTAAAATCAAGAAACTCCACTTTCCGCTGGCCCTCAAGTGTCTTCTAATTGGTACTATACATCATATTGTTCACATGCATTAGTAATAGTTGCAGTAGGAACTAGATGTTTATGTGCATAGATTTTTATGGTTCACTATGTCTCCAGTTATGTACTCGTACAAACACCGGTTTGAAGCGTATCTTGTTTGTTTTTAGTACATTTGTGGTATAAGTTAACATGCACTTATTCACAAACATTTCTAATAAGCTGTTGCTCATCAAACGATTACTCATCGCTCTAAAAATACCGTAATAATACTTCAAAGTACAAGACCTTTGCTTTATCGCATGCATTTGTCAGTTTTTCTGGTGAAAAAATACAGAAAGAAATGTGAGATATACATATAAACAAATACAGTAATATAGACTTACATTTGATCGAGCTTTTCAATACTTGATGTTAACCATGAACTAGAGATGAACTAGTTTCATGAGAACCTTTACTCCGAAAAAATTCATACGCTCTGAAGCTTTTTCTATAAATCTATGTATAGTATTTTGCGTCGGTCGGAATATAACCTTTAACACATTTGGTCCTCTTAAGAAGAGATCTTTAAAAAAAGAATTGCATGTGATGGAGAGAGCACTAAAGACTTTTTAATTAAACAGACGAAAATTTCACTAAGAAATACATTTCACCAGTCCCACTCTCCAGTTCTCTTCATACCGATGCGGCGGAGGTGTAAGGTTACTACACGCCTAAATACTTATTATGATGATGAATGCCTCACAGTCACTGTAGAGAAAAACACTGTATGAGAAATTACGAAAATGGCCGGCTTTTGTAAGGACAGAAATGGATACCTAATAACAGACACACAGAATACACTCGAAATTACGAGGGAACACCTCTCGAAACTTCTAAATGGCGAAAGTAGTGAAACGACGAATAAAAAAAACCGCAGCGACAATCTACGGTGACAACATTGATATCCCGCCATTTGACCAAGACGAGGTCAGCTCTAAGGCGGCTTTAGTACAACAAAAGGAGCTGCCTATTCGACGCCATTTCTAAATTTGGTATTTCCGCGAAACTGATGCAGAGTGACGTTAAGCAAAATCGTCAGATACGTCATAACGGGGAAGGACCTCTGCGAGGCGTCCCTCTCGTGCGTCTTTTTTTTTTAATAATATGCTAGAAAAGATGACGCGAAAGAGGTTGATTTTTTTGGTGAAGGATAAGACAAAGTCACATTAAAATTCTTAGCGAATCGAGACCTATGAGTAAACAATGGAAGCAAAGGCCGCCATGCATTCAATGCAGGAACCAAGTGCAAAGCGACCTGTCTACTTTTGGGATATACAACTTGCGTAACCTCGCAAGGGAAAGATACAACTAGCGAAGTTTTGTGTTCTCGGCTCAAATTGCCGAAATATACAATGTCTAAAGGGTCGAAATGTCAATATTCCGTCTTAACCAAACCTCCCCCTCTTCACTGGAGAAGAACAAATTTCAAGAGATCTCAGACTTAATAGCAAAAAGTGTTTTGTTTTCAAAAATGTTTGTAAGCTTTTAATAAAAACTAATTTCAATAGATCAGTTCTATATATTACAAAATCATATCGGTCTGTAAATCAGTTTTAGTATCGATATCACTCTGAACAGGGTATATTAAGTTTGCCATAAAATTTGTAACACCTAGAAGGAGATCGGAGATATAAAGTGCCATATACAGTAGGTAGAAAAAGTAACGTATCAAAGTGAAATATAAATCAGCGAAGTGAATAAAATTTAAAAGTTTATATTTTTCAAACGAAATATTTTTTTTTATTGAGACCATATTTCAAAGTATTTAATTAGATAATTTTAAAATAAAAGAGAAGTTCATCGCTTTTATAAAAGGAAAACATACATACAGTTAATTGCATGTAGAAAAAATAAGTTATCAAATTGTTTTATATCCACAATGTCCATAATTACGTCTTGCCAGTTGACCCAATTGTTATTTTATGAAGTTAGCAAGCTTCAAACACTAATTTTGAGGAAAATTATTCCACATGTTCTTCAAATCAACCAAGTTTTAGGGTTTCTCCTCAGTCATACGGATCTTAAGGATTGCCGAAGTTTTTTCAATTGGTGGCAAGTCAGGGTTTTGAGGAGGCCATTTCAATACACTCACATTTTCATTTTGTAGATGTTCTGTGATGATTTTTGCAGTATGAATGGGCGCGTTGTCCTGTCGAAGAAGGATATCCGGCCCAATTAGTCGATGACCCTCGTAAATGGCGTGCTGCTTTAAAATATTTAAATAAATTGCAGCAGTAAATTTTTCTTCTAGGATTACAATATTGACAGGGCCATTCGCAGATAGCCACCTCCAAACCATTAAGCCCTTTTCCACCGACTTGTATAATAGTTCTTGTTCGGGTGAGCACCAAACGTTAACCACAAAGTGGGAATAACGAGGTCAAATTATCGATTCATCAGTCCACAGCACTTTTGTCAAAAATTTTAAGATTTTAATATGTCCTCTTTATAAAATGCTTGTCGTTTTTGTTATTTGTCTCATTTAGGTAGAGTAACCTTCTTGCAACATGGCTGTGAATGTTGGTTGGGTGCAATCTGTTACGGACAGTGTGCTTGAGTGTGCATTCATGCCTTCTTTTATAAGCTGTACGCGAATTTTTGAAACTGATTTGAGGGGATCAGAGTTGGAAATATCCAAACATCGTTTATTAACTCTTTGCTTCTCCTTCCTGATGACTCGATTTTCCTTCTTCTAGCCGGCAATAACTTTTCGTATTGCGACCTGGGTTTTATAAAATTTTTCAGTAATATAACGCTGCGAGTGACCATCTTTATGCAAATTAATTATGGTTGAACGTTCCTCATTTGTTAATTCTTTAAAATACAAAATTTTGGGAATTTTTTTTTTTAATTTACCGTAAAAAAACCGAATTAATATTTAAAAAAATTAAATGAAAAAAAAACACGAAAACTTTAGTTACCAATTCAATTTCAAAATTGAAATAAACAATTCTTGCACGTTTAATGCTTTTTTGTAATTTATTTTCAAGTTTTAATATGAAAAACACTGATTACTGCACTTGATAACTTACTTTCTCCACGCTTTGTCACTGAGCAGTTTTATAGAAGGCCACGAAAATGTCTTACCAGATAAGCGGTTGCCACTAAAATCATCAATTACGGTACTTTGATAACGGTCTTTTCCGAACATATAGCAAAAAAATTATATTCAATTAAGCGAAAAAGTATAGAGCGTTTCAAACAACGCTGGCTGTTTTGATAACTTATTTTTTCTACCTACTGTATGACTAGAGTGAATGAATTCAAATTGTCGTTTTATCTTGTCCGTCTCTCTGTCATTCTGTATATACCTTAAATTGGTCAATTCATTAGAGGTCAGTTTTTGAGAGGTTGATTTGAAATTTTGCATGCGTTCTTCTCGTTCCAATA